ATACAGGAAGTTCTAAATAATGAAGCATTTTTCCTTAGGGGCTGTTGAACAGTCCTTTATACCTTCACATTCACTCACCTTTCCCTGTTCTCATTCCAAACAGTGACTGAAAATAGGTCAGAGTTGGAATCAGCCTGTTTACTTAGTGAATAATAAGAATACATTAAGATGAAGGTGTCAAATGGGTTTAAAAATTATTGGCTAAGATGTCGGAGGGCATATTTATAAGCAGGCTATTAGGAAATAAATGACATTTGAGAAGAAAAAGGGCATTTGCAAAGAGAATCCTTTGGGGACATAAGAATGCCATCCAAATGGGAGCCAAGTGGAGAAGTCTGCTGTCCCTGTAGCCAGAATTACAAGAGCTGCTGTTTGCTCGATACCATCTTTTCCCATGGGGTCAAGTATTTTTACCAGCCCATAGATTCTAGTGAAAACATGTTCTAACTCCAACCCCGAGGGTTCAGTTCAGTGAGAGGCGTGGATGAGTCCGTCCGTGATTTTCTTGTGGGAAGGCTCCAACCAAGTCTCACCCCTCTGGCTTGCAGGAGCCAAACTACAGTGAGAAGTATATGGTCCGCCAAAAGGGGGTGCTTGTTGTTGGGATGTGTGGCAATCAAATAACTGCAGCTCATAATGCATCTGAGCACCTTAGGTGTATGCCAGGGACACAGAAAGTGGAGCCCAGTCACAGGGAGAGCTGAACACTGCTTCTAGGAAATGTGTGCTTTTGCATTACCTGGAGGTCAGGTGGTCTTTCGTTAGAGCTGGAGGAGCAGAGCTCTGAGCCTTAACTTAGGTCCGGAGAGAAATTTCAAAATGCGATACATTTGGTAGGAGCTGATGGTTGTTAACGAAACTTGCTGTGCTAATCATTTCACAATATGTGTAAGTCAAACCATTATGTTGTGCACTTTAAAGTTACCGTGAGTGCTGTGTGTCAGTTCTATCTCATGAAAACTGGAAGAAAAAAAAAAAGTTTGAAAAATGTGATGCATTTGGAAGTTTTAGCAAAATCATACTGTTTTTGGACACTGAAGAGCAACGGAAGGCTGTGATAGACAAAAAATCAGAATGTGGATTCGGATCCAAGCAGAGAACAGCCTGGGCGATCATGGATTTCCACCCCCCCCCCCACCCCGTTTGCTGTGTGTTTTCCCTGCAGTTGCTATGACATTTTATCAGCTGCTGTCCCTCAGGTTTTAACCACTGTTGTGCTCTGTTGTTCATCTCTGAAAACAAGGCTCCCTCCAGAGTCACGGCTGCTTAACAGGCGACTGATAGTGACGGTGTGTTTGGTAGTACTCTGAGCTTGACAATGCCCAGAATTAGATGAAGAGAATATGCTGAGTGTGGGTAATGTCAGTAAAAGAATTTGTAAAGTTGGAGCCAGGTCGGGAGGCTCGGGAGAAAAGGTACCTTTTGCCCAAAGGAAATCCTGAGGTAGGGAAGAAATAAATGTGTCGTGGCCCTGGCGACGCCAGGGTGGCAGCTTGCAGGGAGGAAGGTGGCTCTCCCGAGCTGGCTTAATTATGTTCTCTGGCCCATCCTCCAGCTCCCAAAGCTGCTGGGGTGAGCAGGACCTAAATCTGAATTTCGCAGGCTTTCAGAGCTGGGGATGCAATTTGTTCATATGCCTTCCTCCCTACCTACCCCATCAACACACACCGCAAACAGGGAGGTGAATCTGTTCTCTTTTCACACACGCACCAAGCTTCCTTCCCAAGCTTTTGAGGTGCCGAAAGGGCTATCATTTGGAGTATGACAAGAACAATTAATGTACACCGCGTCACATTAGCATCCCCTGTCAAAGCCCAGATCTGACTGAAAGCCTATTTTCAACCCCGCCTCCCCTGCCTGCCTCCCGGGCTCCTCCCAGGATATTTCTTCACCACCCCCAACCCCCGCCCCCCAGCCTCGCAGACCACGCGGTGTTGAGCTCTTTTTATAGCACTCTCCACAATCTGCTCCTGAATCAGATTGGATGGTGTCTATTTCTCGCTTATTTAGAGCTCCTGGAGACGGAGCCTTGCCTTTTTTTTTCCCTTTCTTTTCTTTTTTTCCCTTCTTTTCTGGAGTATCCTTCCGTAGTGCCTGGCAGTAGATTTGAGGTTGGCCCATTTGAGGTCCAGTCTAGGTTTAGGAAATATTTTGTTTTATTCCAAGAGATCACATACCCTGTTCTTCAGAAGTGTCCATTTATCACAATTTTTATATCATACAATTATGTATATCTATTTGAGTCTGCCTGCCCCTAATAAACCATGACCATTGTTTTTTATTACCCTTGATACTCATACCTTCTCAATAAATGACTCTTGTGTTAATAGATAGTTAATAATGATGTATATTTCTTAAACAGTATTTAAAGGAACATAGGTTATTTGTAGTGGAAGAGGAAGCAAAGGCTACCAGGAAGAAGATGCCAAAGGGAAAAAAAAATATTTGAAGATCTTATCACCATCAAATATTTATTAAACAGTATGAAAGATTAGAAAATATTTTATCGGGACCATTATTTTTTCATAGCTACTAATAATGTTGTAGTTAAATTTTTTCATATGCATTAATATTCATGACTTAGATTTATTTCATAGAACTTTCTGGGTTGATTGTTAATGTTTGATTTGAAATTAGGACCTGAGATATACCACAACAATTATAAATTTATTAGGTTGGTGCTTTAATTTTCATTGCTCAAGTGATAATTTATTATGCTTTCAAAAATGTTTATCAAAGTAGTAATGGATTGTATAACTGGGCCTTTTTTTTTTTTTTTAGAAACTTGAATTAAAACTTGTGTTTTTAACTTTCAGTGGCTTATGTAATTGGGTTATTGTCTAGATACTTAAGAAGCAAGATGCACATGATTATTCATTTTTAATACCTGGAGCTCCAACTGTTCTCATATGGGCACTAGGCATTTATTTGCTCTTGAAGCATATATGTCACGGTCTTCTACATGCCAGATATACATGCTCCTGTGATATCATCTGTGTGTGAGGGGACGAGGGGTGGGGGTTGATTCCCACTTGCCTGTAGGTGTCTTTGGGCAGGTATACAGCCTAGGTTTTTGTGTTTCCAAGTCTAGCATAGTGCCTGATGGATGGATAGCTAGGAAAGGATTAGCATGCAGTTTAATAAATGGCTTCGGATGCAGGCACACAGGGCAGCATGCCAGGGACTGAAAGCCAGGAACATTCAGTCACAGAGTTTCTCATCAGTGTAACACACCTGCAATGAGGAGGGGTTCTTGAGCATGGGGCAGAATTCAGGAAAGACTTTTGGGACCACGTGCTGTCCAAGATGAACTATGAATGGGGGTTTCCTCAAATACACATCAGGAGGGAAAGGCATTCTTGACCAGCATATGCTGGCCACTCAGACATGAAAGAGCTTTGTCTTTGGATTGTGGGGGTTTTTTTCTATAGCATAAAATGTGAGAGACTTAGTGGCAAGAGACAAGGATGGAAAACAAAGATTAGATCATAAAGGGCCCACACTCCACGCAAAGGAGGTGCAGCCTCCGTGGCCTTAGTGGTGGTATGGAGGGGACTGCCGTTGTTAGTTTCATGGCATTTCCTATCGCCACCCCCTAACCATTTTTCCCTGCCATGTTCTCTCACGCACTACTAGTTGCCCAAGTCATAAATCTGGATATTTTCCTTATCTTTTGCTGTCATGCCCTGCGTCTGATCAGTCACCAACTACCATCCTATCTACTGTTTAAATTTCTGTCTAATCTATTCATGTCTCTCTGTGCTCAGAGCCCTGCGTCTAGTTTGCACTCTGTTGTTATAGGTTTATAACAGTGTCCCTATGTGGCCCATAGCTCCATCCTTTCCTCTCCAGTCATGTCACACTCTAGCCAGAGACAAACTTCTGAATGCTCACCTGATCGCGTTAGGCTGCCCAAGATGATCTGTGGCCTCCCGTTGCCCTTGGCTGAGGTTCTTTCCTTAGCCTGACCTTCAGGACCTTCAGCTCAGTCTCCAGCTCCACCAGGCTCTCTCAGCTCCCACCCAATCATCTCAAGACTCACCTTCTGCCCTGCAAGAGCCTTCTCTTCACCCTGCCACTCCACCAGGCCTGTCCTCTGGGTTGTTGCTCCCAGAATATTTTCTGATTTTCAAATCTGTATTTAGAGCCCTCATTGTGTGGGCCTGGAACACTCAGTATTTGCCCAATCATGACATACCTGAGGCAGCCTTTTAATCCCTTTCTTAATCGTCTCTTTGCTATGAGAGACTGCGAATTCTGGGATGGCGGAAGCCAAGTGCAGCTTGTTTACATTTCATTCCCAGAAGCTGGCACAGTGCCTAACAGGCAGTAGGTATGTACTGAATTAGACCTATGAATATCTAAAGTTCCTATTTCCATGACCAGCACATAGAAGAGTATCAATGAATGATGGTAGATTTTATTGGCTACTATCATACACAACAGCTGAAACTTTTATTCTATATAGGCAGTAATTTCACATGTACAACTAGCTCATGATCGGGACTGAAACATGGCCATTAGAAAGTTATAGCTGATCTTTGTGCATAAACTTTGGGATGTGGTGAGAGCAGAAGCTACTGTACAGTGGTTTGAAGAGTAGCACCAACAAGAGGTGGAGACCAAGCACAGATGAATTTGTAAAAACAGTTAGCCGAGACAGAAAACACTTAGGGCAGTAGTGAGAGAGGCAGCAAGGTCAAAGGGAAGTGTTTTTAGATGATGAAAGAATACTGGACCTGTTCACAGGCTGAGGACAAGAATCCAGCCTGAAGGCAGGTGCAGAAACAGGTGTGGTGTCAGATGGGGCCTGTGAATAGAAGCCCTGGGCTGGCACCCGAGGGCGGAAGGCATCTCACGTCACGATGACGAAAAGGAAATGGTGAGGCTGCAGGAACGTGCGCAGGGGTCTGGGGAGAGGCACAGGAAATTGTAAGGGCGATGCATGCACATTCAGTTGTGCCACGCAAGCTGACTGCTGCTTTTCTTTTTACCCTTAGCTCTTCGGGGGACTCGTCTGGATTTTGGTTGCCTCCTCCAATGTTCCTCTACCTCTGCTCCAAGGATGGGTCATGTTCGTGTCTGTGACGGCTTTTACCCTTTCCCTCCTCTTCCTGGGGGTGTTCCTCTCCGGCATGGTGACTCAGATCGATGCCAACTGGAACTTCCTGGTAAGAGATTTTTCAGTCTTTTTCAGGAAAATGTGGGAAGCTTTTAACTATCTCATTCTGTCCTGATGGGCCTGCACTTCATTCTGTCTGTTGCTCCTGCTGGGAGACACAAGGGCAGACCACAGCATCTGCTTTGCCCCCTTGCTGCGCAGCAGGACCCCAGTGTGTGAGATTCCTGTGTTGATAGAGCTGAGCAGTCTTTCTGTTACTCCTTTATGAGTTGGGTGACCTTTACTCAGAGACTGTCTTAGTTCATACAACAAGGGAATTGTGTTATAGTTATTGAACTATTGAACAGGTGCCTTTGATTGATGGATTCTGTGACATACAAGGTCTGCCCAGAAGGTGTCAAGCTATGTAAAATGAAAAATAGAGACATTTCTTGAAGAAGATACAAGAAACATTGTACATAGGGCAATGATACCTCAGTCTCCTTCAAAGTAGGTACCTTGGGACCTCACACAGTTCTTCCAGTTGGCATCAGCTGCCCTGTCATATTTTCCAGAATCTCATTCATGGTCTGAAATCTCATCCCTTTCAAAGATGATTTTAGTTTTGGGAAAACCAGATGTCGCAGAGCACCAAAAGCCAGGAGTCACAGGACCGTAGGGGTGCTGGGTGATTTGATGTTTCACCAATAAACTCTGCACGAGATGTGATAAGTGAGCAGGCATGTTGTCGTGATGAAGCTGCCAATCACCAGTTGCCCAACAGCTGTGGCCTTCTGAATCATCCAAATAGTTTTCCTCAGAGGAACGTTCAGGCTTAATGAAAAGTTTGATGCAGATTCATTGCTCTACTCGCTCCATCATTTTGAATGCAGCAGCCACACAGTACACATGCTCACTCAAAAGCATCTACCACCCCCACTGACTATTACAATGAAGTCATCATTGTTCATGAATATGCATTCCTGTTCAGTCTCCTTGGCTGCCAGGTTATATCAACATCGTGCAAACCATTCTCATTATATTAACAATGGCTGGACTTGTTCTGGACAGACCTTGTATATTTTGAAATTTTCCATTGATTTCTGTTTCAGATATGAAATACATACATTCTTTTCAGAAAACAAGTAGCTATATATTCTACTCTCCAAATATTTAGAAAAGAAAAGGCTTGTTTTATATTTATACATATACCTCAGAGATATCGTAGGTTCAGTTCTAAACTACCACAATAAAGCAAATATTGCAATAAAATGGGTCACATAAATTGTTTGGTTTCCCAGAGCATATAAAAGTAATGTTTATACTAGGCTGTAGTCTGTTAAGTGTGCAATAGCATTATGTCTAAGAAAAGAATGTACATACTTTAATTAAAAAATACTTTACTGCTAAAAAATGTTAGGGTTTTTCATTGGCCTTGATTTCAATATTGTTGTGTCTTGGGGAAAAGGGAGGTCAGAGGGTAGGAAGGGAGATGGGAATGGCCGGAGCAGAGCACACAACATTTATTGATTAAGTCTGCCGTCTTATATGGGAGCAGTTTAAGGCACCCTGAAACTGTTACAATAGAAGCATCAAAAAATGCTGATCACAAATCATCATAACAAATAATAATGAAAAAGTTTAAAAAATTGTGAGAATTACCAAAATGTGAGAGACAAAAAGTGAGCAAATGCTGTTAGAAAACTGCACCAAATGGACTCCAAATAGCCACAATCTTCAATTTGTAAAACACAATATCTAAGAAGCGCAATAAAGCAAAAGCACAGTAAAATGAGGTATTGCCTGCATTTTCAATTCCTGTTCTAAATGATCAAGAATTGGTAAGTTTTAAGAAATGAATTTGCAGTCAGCATGGTTCTTAAAATTACAGCACCATTCAATTGGATCAACTTATTTCCCTTTTCCCATGTAACATGCTTGTGGTTATTCATTCTCTGGGCCTATTTCCGAATGGCCCAGTGGAGCATGAATTCCAGTCCATGGTGGACAGCACTCTAACCAAGTTCATGACCAGCACCCCTTTGCTTTCCATCACACATTGGTGTTTAGAAAGTTAAGTTAGGCCTCTAGACAGGCTTGATACATGTCCCTTTCAAGTATGTTAGCATTTTACTCAGCCACCTCAGGACAACCATTAGAGGAATATCATTTGTTCTTGTCTTATTGATAGAGCAGGAGGAGGACTGCCTTCCCAGATGTTATCAGCAGTCACGTCTGGTGAATGTGGCGGCCTGCATGAATCCAGCCAGGGGCAAATGGCAGGTGTAAAGCTAAGGGGAAATGTGTGTGCAGTAGTTAGCACACAGGGTGCAAGGTTCGGTCTGGCTTGCTTGATAAGTATGTAGCCTCGGGCAAGATAGTGAACCTCTATGAATTTCTATTTCTTCCTCTGTAAAATGATAATAATTACACCTACCTCACAGATGCTGTTAAGGAATAATGAGATTAATGTGTTATAAAGAGCTCAGCTGCATGTCTGATTCATAGGAAGTAATCAATAATCATCGTCATTCCTTAGACACGCCAAGGCTTGCAGTAGGAACCTTTGAAAATCCTTCTGTGTCTTAGGCTGCTGATACAGCGTGCTCATACCTTTTTGCCATGATTTCTCATTAATGATGAGAAATTAGTTGAAGTAATTGTTCAAGTAATGAAAATCAAAGATCCATGTTTAAGTTACAGATAGATGCCTCATCTCCTTTTTCTAAATGCCTGGCTTTCCCATAATATGGATGAATGAATCGGTCAGTCCCTATATTGGTGAGTGCCATCAAGCTGTTTTAGTGTCAGGCTTTAGTAAAAATGGTACTTGACAGTAGGTACCAGTGTGGCCCTACTGGTGCTTTGGTGCTAGCTAATATATAGTCATTGTCCCAGCCTCCTGCCTCTTCCCCAGGGCTGTGGCCTCCATCACCCTGGCCCTTCCCTGGGACCTTCCTGGGCCTCCTCATTGCCCAGCAACTAAAGAGTTAATTGGAGGAGAAGTAGTGAGTCTCCAGGACCCTGCAGGGCCTAGCTTTCTTTCTAAATGTCTAAAGCACATTCCCCATCAATGTTTAAATATTTCTTCCAATAACACTTCTGGTTTTATTAGACACATGTCCATACCATGTTTTTCCTTTTTGTTTATATTGAGTCTTATCATCAGTATTGAAAACGGTCATTCATATTCTTGTTAATTCATTAGGTTTCCTACAAAATTAGAAAAACCTACCAGCATGTTCCACAGGTTACCTGCAGAGTTCATCCTGTGGGTTTTTTTTTTTTTTTTTTTAAGCTGGAATAGTCCACACTTACTGAGGGAAGAAGGTAATGGCAACACACAGCACACAGTACAGAGCTTGTCACTACACAGACTCATGATATGGGAGGCTTGCTTGCTTTCTCTCTTTCTCTCTTTCTTTCTTTCTTTCTTCTTTTTCTTTTATTATTGTTTAACCTGTTGCACAGTTGTTCCGACTTTTCTCCCTTCTCCTTCCCCAGCTCCACGCTCTCCCCACTCAAGTCAATCCCCATATTGTTGTCTGCATCCATGGGTTGTGCATAAATGTCCTCTGGTTAATCCCTTCACCATCTTTCATCTCATCCCACCCCCATCTTTCCAGAAGCTGCCAGTCTATTTATCTAAACTTCTGTTCCTATCTTGTTTGTTAATCACATTCCACACTGACTGGCTTAATTTACTTATAATTTTCTCCAGGTCCATCCATACTGTTGCAAAAGGTAAGAGGTTCTTCATTTTCACTGCTGCGTAGTATTTCATTCTATAATTGTACCACAGCCTTTTTATCCACTCATCCACTGATGGGCACTTAGGCTTTGTCAAATCTTGGCTATTGTAAATAACACTGCTATAATCATAGGAGTGCATATATTTTCTGTACTGGTGTTTCAGGATCCTTGGGGTATATTCTTCAAAGTAGATTGAGTCAAAAGGGAGTTCCATTTTAAATTTTTTGAAGATACTCCATATTGTTTTCCACAGTGGCCGTCCCAGTCTGCGTTCCCACCAACAGTGCACTAGGGTTCCTTTTCTCCATACCCTGGCCAACACTCATTGTCTATTGATTTGTTGATCATAGCAATTCTGACAAGTGTAAGGTGATATCTCATTGAGGTTTAAATTTACATTTCTCTGATGGTTAATGATGTTGAGCATTTTTTCATATGTCTATGAGCCCTCTGTATGTCCTCTTTGGAGAAGTGTCTATTCAGGTCTTTTGCCCATTTCTTAATTGGGTTGTTTGTCTTCCTGGCATTGAGTTGTACTAGCTCTTTGTATATTTTGGAGATTAAACCTTTGTCAGATATATGATTGGCAAAAATATTCTCCCATAAAATGGGCTCCCTATTCATCTTGCTGATGGTTTCTGTAGCTATACCAAAATTTTTAATTTGATGTAGTCCCATTTGTTTATTTTCTGCTTTGTTTCCAGTGTCTTAGGAGATAAATCATCAAAAATATTTTTACATTGAATATCTGAGATTTTATTCCCTATGTTCTCTTCCAGGATTTTTATGGTTTGTGACTTACATTTAAGTATTTTATCCATTTTGAGTTTTTTGTTGTGTGTATGGTGTAAGTTACTAGTCTAGTTTCTTTCATTTTTTTTTTTTTTTGCACGTATCTAGTTTTCCCAAAACCAGTTACTGAGAAGACTATCTTTGCTCCATTGTGTGCACTTGCCACCTTTTTCAAGTATCAATTGCTCATGCAATACAGGCATGGTTTATTCCTGAGCTCTCTGTTCTATTCCATTGATTGACAGGCATACTTTTCAAGAGCCAACTCTTGCTTTGAAGAAGTTTACTTAAATGCTTGCCATGTTTAGAAATGACTCCTTATTTTCTTTGAGATTTTCTACATACTCTGCATTTTTGATAGGTTTTGTAATATATCTTGTGTACTCTCAGCCAGAAAAATTTTTGAGTCATGTGTATCATAGCATTGTCACCAGATGGTAACAATTTTGAATTGCTACATTCTGAAATTGTTAGATCTAATTGTTGAAAAAAATGTTTCCCCCTGTGATAATGGTTTACTGTTGCTTGTATACTATTCATGAAGGAAACAAGAGTACATTTTGATAAAGAATGAATTTTCTAGAAGTATTTGTTATGGATATTAAATATTATATTTATAGCTCCTAGCTTTTTTTTTATTGATTATGAGATTAAATTAACATGCTTGGTAAATCAAAAAAATGATTTTTTCCCAAGATTTCTAGTGTTGGTAGAAATGGTAAAATAAAAATATAATATGTAATAAAAAAGAAAGTAGACTCTAGACCCAGACAGACCTATGTGGGCTTGAGTTCTCCCCTCCAAATTTCATCTTTGTGTGGCTTTGAGACAGTCACCCAGCTAAAAAAAAAAAAAAATTACAAAGAAGAAATTTCATATTTGTAAAATGAGTATAATAAAAGGTGATTGTAAGGATGAGTGATAATGGATGTAAAGTACTTAGTGTATGGGAACTGTTAACAAAAACACAAATCAGTATGTTGATCTATTAATTCAGGTAAGGTGATGTGAATTTTAGTAGAGTTATGCTTTACATAAATATCAATAATGTATGAAATAACCTAATAACAGTTGAGTTTTGTATGAATATTTCCTATACTTTTTGTAGAAATACATGAACTTACTATTTTTTAAGAATTTGGGGGGATATGTTATTGAATTCTATGATTTTATATGTCTTCTGTATCTTTCAATATATGGTGTGACAATCTAATGGATAAAAATGATTGCTAAAAAATAAAATAATAATAAAATATATGTGTATATTATTAGATAACTATATATTATACTATAGTAATATAGCTATTTTATAATAACTGTAATAACAAGATATAATTTAAATATTATTTTACTTAAATTTTAAGGAGAGCATATGTTATTCCTTCTTATGTTGTGTTCATTAATAATAATATCGGTGGCACCTTAATGTAAACTAAAATTATATATTTCATTATAAAACTCAGTATACAGAAGGGTTGCCCCTGCACCGACTACATTGGGCCAGTTGCTTTTCACTTAGATCCTAATAGCCTGGCATTGCGAAAGCAGCCAAAAGAAATGGCTAATGTAGTTGAAGATGGGTTCAATGTCCTAATCTTCCACAACCTCAACTTCATCATTTGAAATAAAGAACAGAAAAAACATATGCTATTAGTTTTCAATGTAAATGTCTCTCTTTTCCCTCGCCTTCAGGATTTTGCATACCATTTTACAGTGTTTGTCTTCTACTTCGGAGCCTTTCTGCTGGAAGCAGCAGCCACATCCCTGCACGATCTGCACTGCAATACGACCTTGACTGTGCAGCCGCTCTTGAGCGACAACCAGTACAACATAAACGTAGCAGCTACAGTGAGTGTTTGACAATGACACTGTACCAGCATTTCCCTTCCACCGTCAAGGTCTCCAAGTACCTCCTCAGGCCACCAGAGTTTTCTTTAATAGTAGCCCTTAGCATTAAACATATAATAGCTATGTGTCTGTACAGTAACCTTATGAGCAAAGTACCATCACTACCACTAGTGTTGTGGATGCTGAAACTGAAGCGCAGGGAGGTTGACATTCGTGTAAGATTATAGCAGTCCATGGCAGCTGTTGGCCTTCCACAACAAAGTCTACTTTGTAAAAAGAATTAATTGTGCCTTTTATTTCTTGTAACTTCAGACATGGTAAGGGAGATTCGTTCTTCAGTGTTTGGTCCCTATTTGTAATTCATTTGGACTCTGAATATTTACTGAGAGCCGACCAGGGGGCAGGCAGTTTACTGGGCACTAGGACAGGGATGAATAAGGTGCAGTTCCTGCCATGAAGAGAAGTCTGGGGGAGTGTGACGGTAAATGTGCCAATTACAATAGATGATATAGAGATGAAATGCCTTCCATGGGGGACTTTTTTGAATTTTTTTATCTTTCTTAATTCATATACTTAAGTGAGTTTGTCATTTTTTGTGTTGACATAGCCAACTTGAATGAATGATGTGGTATTTCTGTTTTTATAGATAATTTTAGGGTGTCAGCCATCTAAATTATTCCCTGAAATCTCTTGATATTTAATATGGCTGTACAGCATGTTGTTGATTCTACTGTTTTTACACAGATAGTGTATAAACAGTCCAAGAGTCCCCACATAGCCACTGAAATATATCTGGACTAATGCTGTCCAATAGAACTTTCTGAGATGATAGAAATGTTCTATAGATGCACTGTCTAATATGCTCGCTACTCATGAATTAATTTATTTATTTACTTTTAAGTCTAAAAGCCATGTGTGGCTAATCGCTGTCACACTGGACAGCCCAGGTCTGGAATCTAGGTTCTGAAGGGTAGAGGGCTAGTGATCGCAAGACCTCCTGCCGTAAGTTTCCCACGTCTCTGTGGGGACTGTCAGAGTCCATTCGTGGTCTGCGTGAGTCAGGCTGAAGCTGGGATTGCAATGGAAAGGAGGAATGGTGCTGGCTTTGAAAGGCTTACAGATCAGTGATTTTTACACCGTCTTTTATGAGAAATGTCACTGTTGTACTCAATGAAATCTTACTTAAAACTCAGTAAGTGTGGAAGGTAAAAAGCATACATGTCCTAGTGGGAGGTGGAAAAGAGGGTCTTGAATGATACCCAACCTTCGTTCCCATAAGGCCACTTCTACCCACCTCATCACCTCCGAGGTGCTTTCGTAGAATCCTTGGGATCCAAAGATCACAGTTGGGAAACCACTGGTTTTAATAGTTTTACAAAGTGAAGTTCAGGGACTTAGAATTGACTTCTTTTTTCAAGCGTCCTTTCTAGTAGTTGTCCATTCCCAATAGGTTTTCCTTTAACTGCTTCCATCCCCTCCTTTTCAATGGTGCAAGCTAGACTCTCATTACAACTTTTGGATCCATGCGGTAGCCACATACTGATTTATTTATAGTTGCCCTAAGATCCTACTTTTGTAAGAATAGTAGGTGCTCAAGTGCTTGATGGGTGATGGATGTCATTAATTTTTCACTAATATGTCTTTGCCCTAAGAGCTCAGTTTTCAGTGTTCTCCATAATGTGATTCTGTTCTGGCTGCCTCTCTTCTGTGACTTTGTCCCTGTTATCTTTCCCTTCCTTTGTCTGCCTAAGTGAAATTGCCTTAGTAAACCTCTGTGTGCTTCACATTTCATATTAAGCCCCATTACATCTGTATACTCTAGTGGAAGTAAATCATGTTTCTGAGTTTTAATATCACTTAAATGTATGAGTCATTCATTTGTGACATCATGTTGACTCCCTCGCTTTTCAGAGGAAAATTCCTGTTCACTAATAATAGATAATCAAAAGTGGTCAGTCTTGTTCACCAATGTCTAGGTTAGAGGTGTACCAGAGAGGCAAGCAGAAGGATGGGGAGAGCAGCAAGAGGGTAATTACACTGGGAGAGTGTTCTTTAGGTTAACCTGATATCCCTTCTCAGAGCTGTAGTTTTCTGGTGAAAGATCCCTGCACTTGATAATTCTTTATGACATTTAATTGCTTTGTCTTGTAGTTTCTAATGGACCATAAACCCCCCCCGTGTTGTCAGAACAATATCTACTATTTGTTTATATGCACCAAATATACTGGTGCTAAAGAAACCCTTGTTGAATACTAAGGCAAGTAATTTAGAGCCGAGTGTAGACATGGAGGACATCTTCTGTGACAACCTGATGATTTACTTCTATGGGTTTTCTTGGGTCACTGAGATGATCGGTTCCATCCCCAAGTCCCAATAATTGCACTTTCTTTGGCTGTGATATCATTGTATGACTAGACATCTCATAATGAATTTTTGAATACCACATTGTGGGTATCACAAATACTTAACAAGTGAATCCAGTATGTGAACAAATGCTCAGCCTAAGGCTGTCTACACATGAGAAAATTATTAGGGGCTAGAATCTTTAAAAGAAGGGTTAATGATGTAAGAGGATAAAACAGTAGTACAAATTAGCTAAAAAAAAAAAAAGAGATGAATATGAATCATTTTCTTAAGAGTTGAAGTGTCTTCAATACTTATGAAAGTGTTGGTCAGTCTTCAGATGATTGTAAGAACAAGCATTTTCTTAAAGTCAGTGTTATAAATCTGATGAGAATTTGTGTTTCTTTTTCCTTAGATTTTTGCCTTTGTGACGACAGCTTGTTATGGTTGCAGTTTGGGTCTGGCTTTACGAAGATGGCGACCGTAACACTCCTTAGATACTAACTGTCTGTGTGTTAGTTTCATTTGTCTACTTTATATGTCTGATCAATTTGGATACCATTTTATCCAGATATAACACATTCCAAAAGCAATTTGTTTAGTATATGAAGAGAATTTAAGTACAGTTTTGGCTTATTTCAAGGATAGAATTTTCATTTTATGACACTATTAAACAGAGAAATGGCCTCTAACTTTACATCAGCCTCTTTTCTTTTTATTTTTTTAAAGAATTTTTTCTTTTATAGCCATAAAATACAGAGGTGTTTTGTTGGTTTTTTTGTTTTTTTTCATGAAAATGGGTGTCTCTTTTGTTTAGTTGCTAAATCATGTGAACCTTAATTTTAATGGGTAACAAAAACTCCCTAAAATAAAACACATTTCAAACAGGCTTCCCACTGAACCCTATCTTTTAGTATAAACAGAGGTTGGCACCCTTTTTCTATAAAGGCCCAAAGGGTAACTATTTTAGCCTCTGTGGGCCATACAGTCTCTGTCACAACTACTCACCTCTGCTGTTACTACATGAAAGCAGCTGTCAGTAACATGTAAATGAATGAGTTTGGCTGTGTTCCAATAAAACTTTCTTTACAAAAGCAGACAGCAGGCTAGATTTGGCCTGTGGGCTGCAGGCTATAGTTTGCTGACTTCTGGTGTAAAGCCTTAGCTATGCATTCTGTATATTATTGTACTCATACTGAAAGGTGTAAAGTCAATTAGACAAGCCACATAATATTTAGTCTCCCTAATCATATTGCCTTTGTGTTCATGGACAAATGCTTACCCTTGATGGGGCATATAGTTTCTCAAGCTAATTCAAGCAGAGTCTTAAGTATAGGAAAAAGTAATTTATGACATGAACCCTAGTTGCTTAGTCAAACTTGAGGTCTCCTAACACCTGAGCAAAACTCTCATCTGGCATCCTTAACATGAGCTCTCCAGAGGCCATCAGCCACCACTGGAATTGGTATCCAGCTACTTGTGTCTTACTTTGGATTTATTTATGCTTCAGAATACAGCCGTTTGCCCTGTGCATGAATATATGAATACTTGTATGTGGATATGTGAGGCTTTACCAAATAGAGCTCTCTGAAGAGTTAACTTTTTACTTCTAATTATTTTATATTACCTTCTGAGTTAAGTTTAAATAGATTATTAAACATAACTTAACATTGTAGATTCTTACATGTTTTGTAATAGCCCTAAGATCTATGTTGTTTTTACATTAGTGACGGATACACAAAATCAGTTCTAAAACAACAGCCATCACAAAAACTGTGTGTGGTTGAATAGCACAGGAATGTATTTTAACCCCTTATAGAGATCCTGGTTGTGGAAAGGTGCCAAAATGGCTTGGGTGGGAGAAGCTAGGCCCAACTCCCACCACACTGTTCAAACAAGGGACTCATCTCTTGCCCTGAGAGGGCTGCCTTTAGGAAGAGGGGGCTTTTGATTGTTCTACATTTTCAACCCTTTTCTTTCTATGGCTGAATCAACTCCTCGGAGTGCCATATATAAGTCGGGCTATTCGATTTCACGGGCATAGAACAATCCTGAATGTGTAGCATGACCAATGCTCAATGATCAAATGCTATTGATACAGTAATCCCCTAGAAAGAAGAATCTTACTAGAGTCCGGTTGTGATGTAATTGTAATGGTAAAAGACCTGGTTCCACATGTGGCCAGAGGGTATCAGTCTTAGGACTTTATACTCATGTCATATCTTTTCTATAATATCCTACTTCCTTGGTTTTTCTAGCTCCATACCACACACCTATACCTGTATTATGAATTGTATATTACAAAGTCATAAATGTGCCATAAGGATATATAGTCCATTCTAGTCGAAAGTGTTTAATCTACTAGGTTTAGTTGTGAGATTTTATTTTTTGTTTCCAAGGTATAACAAGTCCGTGCTCGGTGGCATTAAATTCAATGATTTCTGGGAACTGCTTCGATGGCACTTTTGTAAACAGATTGCTTCTTGATCATTAAAAAACATACCTAAAACTCATTTAACTGTGAAGACTTAGATTTGTAGACTAATCGTGTTCTAGATTTTTGAGTTGAGTGACAAAGCACTTGAACAAAAATTATGGCATTTGAGAATTTTTTATACACCTTAGCTGTAAAAATGAGAAAGTGTTGGTTGGTTTTGAAATCTGGTAACTCCATGATGAAAAGAAATTTACTTTACAAGTGTTATGACTCTAATAAAGTATTCATTTGGTAATCTTTTTTTGGTCATCTATTTTTTATTCAATTCACTTTGAAATTCAGTTAAGGGTTTTTAAACTTGACAGACTTGAAACTTCTACTCTCATAATATATAAAAAGAGTTTTGCTTTAAACATTTCAGTGTAAAAGATAGTCTCTCAGGAAATGTCACTAAATCTTTTTTTCTTTAATGCAGGTCAAAGGGGTAAGACTTTGGAAGTAATATTATAAAGGAAGTTTCGATTATACTCCATTTTATTTAAAAAGCATTTATATAATGCTTAATGTATGCCTGGCAGTGTTCTAAGCATTTTTTCCAAATATTAGCTCATTTAATTCTCATCATAGCAACTCTGTGGGGTAGATTCTATCATCTATCTCATTTTAAAGATGGCAGAAGTAGAACACAGACCTTCAGAAACACCCAGGGTCATGTCCCTAGCAAGTGGGAAAGCGGGATGTTACACCTCACCAGCCTGGCTCCAAAGTCCAGGATTAGTGACTGTTATCCCTGAGCTTTTCCAGATTTTACATATTTTATATATTCAAAAATATGACCCTTTTTTTCTCCCAAAGAAGTTTTTAGCAGAATGTTTAGTAACATAATTGTATATGGTGGATGTCATCTTTTTAGGACTTTCTTCTTGTCATAACCAAGGACTCACCTTCTTCCACCCTGTTCCTTGGCAGTTTAGCTAGGAGTATGCACCATATGGGGGTAAGGAATTGTTTCTCACCCAGCCTCATCTTCTTTGCTTGATAATCACCCTTAAAAACCAATCCTACTGGCATCCCACTGGCTCTTGCTGATACAGACTAGTTACTTTTTACAACTGCTTTGAGGTATAATCTCTTTCTTCTCTATCAGACCCAACATGAATTCAGCTTGGCTATGCTGAAGTTTAATCTTGGTTATCAGCCTGGCATCCAGGAGAGAGGAGGGGACATGTCCTGAGGGGAGCCTTCTGTTGGCTTCCTGGAAGAGAGGTCTCATGTGGGGAGAGGACTAACTCTTAAAAATGAGGCATAAGACTCCTCCGGCTCAAAGAGTCAGAATTCTGGAGAGCCACTATCCTGGGGGTACCCATTCAGACATCCCCATCCTAGATTTCAGAGTCCCAGGCTCTCCTCCCAGGGTGTTGAATGTTACGTCACACCTCTGCCTTAGTCAAGCATTCTGCTATCTTTGAAGTTCAGTAAACCTGTCCGGTCTTGAGTTGCTCTCCCACTGAAAAAGATAAGAGTCCTCTTTGTAAACTATGCAATAGGCCCTTTGGCTGTTGTCACACTAGTTTTAATTCTGTTAGTAACTCTCAGTTTCCAGTGGTTGATGCAAGGCATCAACTGAAACTAATCACCATCTTTTTGCTCTTGTTTGTAATGTAATGAGTTAATTCCTCTGTGTTTTCAAAGAGGAAATCGTCACTTGGGTCAGGGTGTTCCCCTCCACCAAGGACATTCTCCTGTGTTATTTACCTCAGAATGTATTTGCACTTCCTATTTTATCAGCACTGCTATTATTACAAAATTTAATTTAAATGTATAATTTTTCTTGCAATTAAACAACAACAAAACCAGTATTTCACTCCCAAGAGTCACTGCTAAATTGGCTAAGATTCCAATAACTAATCTTAACTTTTTTTTTGAGTCCAGAGCATTGAGTTAGATTTGGGTTCCAGAAAGGGGATTCAGATGACTTGCCAAAATAGAGATTCCCCTAACTAGCATAAATCTTCAGAAAATTCTTCTCTACCTGGAACCATTCGGTTCTGTGTTTATTTACGGTATTTGTTCATTGTGTCTTAATAGTAAGTACTTTTATTTTGATAAATTATCAAAGTCCTCCTCCTGCCTCTTCTATCTTTTCTTTTTCCTCTTTTACTTCTGAATCTATGGGTCATTTTAGATAAGTCTGAAATGGCAGACATGGGTATTTAAATTGTTAAAGTATCTTATGTGGTTAATTAGGGGAAATGCAAATAACTTGTTAGTGTATTAAGTGCATTAACTCATTTTTCCAAAACTGCATACTTTTCCAAAACTATGGTTCAGTCGTATACATACACTGGATTTTTGTTGTTGTTATTCGTGTAAATAGAAAAGCAGCAGACTGATATAAGAGACCTTTCATTTATCCACTTATTCAACAAATATTTACTGAATTTTTTATGTCAGCCATGGTTAGAGATGCTACAATGAACAGAGAGTGACAAGAACTCTCTCTTCCTCAAAGGGCTTATGTTTTGGTGTGCAAGAGGCAATGAGCAAAAGCAAAGTACATGTACAAAATGTTAGATACTCATGAGTGCTAAGGAGGAAAACAAAGCAGAGTCAAGGGAAACAGAGTTATAATTTTAAATAAGTTGGGCATGGAAAGACCCTCTTTGAGGAATGAGCAGAATCCTGAAGCTGAGGGAGGGGGTGAGTGTCTAAGAGAAAAGGCCTCAGGGATTTGAGTGTAACACTAAGTGTCAGCTTGCAACATACAAATAATGATAAATCCCACATAGGTGGAGATTCTTAAAATTAAAGAATTCTTGGGTGGCTGTTGACTTCAGGGCTTTTAAAGCCTTAACATGTCCTTAAGAAATGCCTACAGGGTGACCTCACCACTAAGGTAAAATCAACCGCCAAGTGATCTTCTCAAGTAAAAATTCAGTATTATTCCAAAGAGAAGTAAGAGAGTCTTTTCAACTATTCAAAAATACACATTGAAAACCCATTTTGGGCCAGGCACTGTAGAGGAGATGGAGCAGATGATGGATAAGACCCAGCAACTTTGTCCATAAGGAAGGGAATGTACAAATAAACATACAATTAACACATAAAGCTAATTTTAGAGATAAGCATAGGAAGTTTTGGAAGCACAAGGAAAGACTAATCTGGTCTTGGAGGGGAGACATATTAGACTACTTCTTGGTGCAAGTGACATGTAAGACACCTGAAGGATGAGTTAGAGCCAATCAAGAAAATATCAAGACAATAAGGAGAAGGTCGTTCCAGGTAGAGAACCCCACTTGTGTCAAGGCCCAATGGAAACAGAGAAGCTATGTCCAGGAAGGTTCTGTGTGACTGTAGCTTAGAGTGAGATACAGTGAGAAATGTAGGGATGATGCTGGAGTTGTGAACAGGGTGCCAGTAGAAAGGCCCTTCTGTGTCATGCTAGGGACTTTGGGCTCTGTCCTAAGGGGGTCAAGACCACACTAAACCAACTTGCACCTGCCCAGCTATCTTCTCATAAGTTCTCTTTCTTCACTTACGAATTTTTTTTTGTGCCTCAAATGAGTATTGGAATTTCCCCAGTTGTCCTGAAAGAGTTTGTCCAAATGTCTAGACTATATCATTTTAGTCTGAGAATTTTGTGCTTCCTGTCACAAACATACAGCAGTTCATCCTCAGGTGATCAGATGTAGCGAATCCTATTTTAAGTCCACGGTCCATTCTCTTTCTCCCAATGTGTCATCATAATTCCCTGATCAGCTGCCAGTGTTCCTGTGACCTGTATTCTAACATGACGATCTCACCTAGCCCCCAAGTCTCCCTTTTATTTTTGAAATGGAGAATGGCCAGAAATCTTTCTTCTTTTTCAATTTTTGCTGGCAGATTCAAGAGCAAAGACACACATCTGATATGTGGTACAACCATGTGCAAAGTCATCATTAGTCAAACTGCTAACATTGCTAGATGACAGGCACACCAATATGGGCACCAACCTACTGTCCCCCTGTAGTGATGAAGCCCTGGATGGGAACTTCTCATCACCCAGCCATTTGGATATGCATTTTTCCCTCAGTCTAAATAGTAAGCTTTATATTTCTGTACAGCATAGACTAAAAGATATAGCAACATACTGGCTATCACAACATTTCCTATTTACCTATAGTAAATTCAAATCACTTCTGACATTATGAGTTATTCTCTGGGATACTTGGTCTGAAGACGTTTTGAATGAAGAATTTATTCTGCTTCAAAACAGCTGCAGCCAAAACGTTCATTCATGCGTGGTATGGATCTCAGTCAGGAAAAATGAGTATAAGGCTATTGATTCACAAACTCGGGAGGTTCTGGGTTGAAATCTGAAACTGGCCCACCCACATGGAGGGCAAAGAGAGACCAAAGAAAGACACAGATCGCTCCAGATGGTTGCACGGTTGGTAGGTTTAATAAGCAAGAGAACTCACATATAAGGCTTGGCTTGGGTAGACACAAGACAAGTAGGCCTCTTCACCAGCCCACCAGAATCTTAAAAGGTTATACAATGGCCTTACCTGGGTTTCATCACGTATAGTGCCAGGTAGCCTCAACAACACCTTACTTTCTCAGGACTACCTCCTTGAAACAGCTCCTGATGTGGGAACAGCAGACAGAATATACATTCCAAGGACAGGGGCGGGGGTGAGGAGCCTCTGATTTCTCAGGTGCAGCTTGCAAATCAACCAAGGGTCCTCTCAATGACCTGCTCCAACAAAGGTATATATGGGGAGAGCCACAAAGATCTATAAACTATTTTGAAATCACTGTAATCCTGCTCTCTGAATACTAGACAAGTAAATGTTAGGGAATAATTTTATGGCTTCTCTGGAGCTTTTAACAAATGTTCTCCAACTTTTGACTGTAGAATAGTTAACCATCACCATTTACTGAACATTCACTGTGCTAGTCACTGATCTAAGAATACTAAACATATCATATTTACTCTTCCCAATAACCCAAGACAGAGTCTTAGGATCACCCTGATCCAAACGTGGAAACTAGGGACATTGAAATGTTGGGATTTGTATAGAGTCATACAGCCAGGACCACAGCCATATTTCAAACCCAGGACATATGGATCCAAGAGACTAGAAAGCACTAATATCCAAAACACGTTTAAAAGTTGCAATTCTGAACCCAATGCAAGTAGTAGAGTAGATTGACAATTTTTCTGGTTTTATCATAGTTTTGAATTTGGTCAATAAACGCTGGAGAAATGCTGGA